TGCTTTGGTGCTGGGGACAGGAACCAGAGAGTGGTGCATGTTAAGCACATGCTCTGCTACCAAGCTGCACCCCTGACCTCTGGAATCTTCATTTTAACAAGTTGATTAGTGTATTTTCTTTTCAGTTGCTCTTTTAAATTTCAGTTTGGAATGTAAGTCCTTGCCAAGATAAAGTGCATTTGGAGTCAAAGTGACAGATGAAACCTGGGGTCTCATGCACTCTACTAATGAGCACACCCTTCTGCCTCACAAGTCCTTTATGTCATAGGTCAAAGCCTAGCAGAATTAAAGGACTGGTTCAAAGTCACATGTGAATTAAAAGAGAGCAAGCCCTTCCTGATGTGTGCTCTGCTGTGAGCACACTACAGGCTCTAGGACATCATCTGGAACAGTGGGAACAGGGCTTTGTGAAAGTACACGGTTCAATATACAGGGCTGTGCACAGATGGTACACGGCTGTTAAAACTCCTGGAATGTCCTGGGTGACAGGAAGGTCCTGTTGTCTATAATGAGCCCCGTTCAACTACATCTGCCTTCATGCTAAGAGATAATGCAGGGTAGAGCCTCTAGTAGCTTCAGGATTGGGGCGCCTCACCAGAAAGGAATGACAGAAAAAGAGGGAGTGGGAATTTTCAGTCTCTGATCTCAGGGGCGGTCAGGTGGCTGGAGTGGTCAGGGTTGACTGGCCATCAGGCTGCTGAGCCACAGCCCTCTTATCTTATGCCCTATGTGATTTCCATTTAATGACCCAGCTTTCTGTCTCCTGTAATAAACTAGCAAATATGTCTCTTTCAGTGCTGTGATTTGCACCAGCAGATTCGTACGTCTAAGGAGAGGGCTTGGTGGCATCCAGATGTATAGGTGATAGTTCCATGGACTGAGCCCTGCACCCCTGCCATCTTTCGGGAATTCCGATCAAAACTGAATTGTTGGACAGACACTTGGGGTAGGACTGGGTGGAAAAATGACATGTATTTGGGGTATCAGAACTAGTGTCTAAAACAAGAAAGCACTAGTCCAAGCCAGGATGTGCTGTATGTGTAAAATACACCCTGGCTTTTGAGGACTTATGGACAAAATATGAAATATTTTATTCCAGTTTCTTTGTATTGATGACTCTCTGAAATAGCATTTTGGATAATGGGTTATATCAAGAATGCCATTAATAATAGGGCAAGGTATGATGGCACACACCCATAAGTTGACTGAGGGCATTGACTGCTTATCAGCCCAGGCTCTTTGACAATGTTTTTATCCTATGATGGTATTATTCAATAACTCTTTAGATCACGACAGAATAACTAAAGTGTCCGTTTTCACAGAGGGAGCTAGCTGTTAGCAGTGGAAGCCCTGGTTCTGGAGTGGAAGGAGTGGGTAGGACTTGAGAGGATGGATGACTTGGCTACAGTGAGATTTATGCTAGCAAGACCCAATGGCTGCATCTCCCAGGGCCACAGCTGGGATCTGCTATAGCCTTGGCTTGTCTGTCCTCCCCCATTGGTTTGACTGCAGCTATGGAGGGTGTCTCAATACTGACTGTGAGTATCGAACCTGCTCAGCCCCTGGTTCCTGTTTCCCTGCAGAATTTCAGGGACACAGGAGGGCATTATGGCAGGTCCTAGGCTGGTCACTGAGGGAGGCCTGAGACCCCTTGGCTGGGTCATATGTACCTGGAGGCTCAAGGAGGGACTAGCACTGCTTGCCCAGGTCTCTGAAGGTCCTGGAGCACTCTTGACCTGCTGAGGCTGAGCTAAGGACCAGCATTTTTTTTTTTTTTTTTTTTTTTTGGCAATGTAAGGTAAACTCCAGAGATTTAACCAGAGTGTCATTTAGAATTGAAACCAATTCCTTAACCTAGAAAAAGCCTGTGACCCAACAGGACGTTAATGACTTCTGCCTGTGATCTTTATAATCTGCCATACACCACAGGTGGTGAACTGTGGCCCCAAAGAGGCAGGAGCATGGCCACTAGCATAGCTTACTGGGAAGCGGAGAGGATGGTCCCAGGCTCCCCTAACTGCTGCAGAATGGTGTCCAGGACCCAGAAGCTTGTGGCTGGAGTCTAGTATCTCTGTTGCTTCCCAGGCCCAAATGGGTCACGGTTTCGATGGTCCTGTTCCATGTTGCTCCTGAGTGCTGGACAGTGCAGAATGAGCTTGATTTCACAGTACACAAGAGACATCTTTTCTTAAGAAATAAATTTAATTCTGGGTGGTTAGTGAACTTAAGGCTCGTAAAGCCTTCATGAAAGTTAAAAGAATCCAGTTACAAAAGCAGTAGTGGCCCAGTCTCAAAGGGCTGGAAGGACAATGGGCTCCGTATTTTACAAAGTACAAAAAAGGATTTCATATACAAAGAAAAATACAAATAATGTGCAAAAACTGTTTTCACAGGTGGCAAATTTATAAAATGAATACGATAAAAAATTCCTTCATTTTTATTTCCCAATTTCTTATATATTAATACAGTTCTATTTTCTAGTGTGTTGATAATTTTTAATTTGAAAACTTGATTTATTTTTAATCTACAAAGTAGTTTTTATTCTTTAAAAAGGGAACAATCTTTTATTACTAAAATCTTATGAATCAGTTTAGTTATTTTTATATTAAATTATAAGCAGGCTATCTGAAAAATCAGGATATAGAAATCATATATACATATTTTGAAATATTAGTTTGGTATTTAACATATTAACATGTCAAAACACATCAATCCGGCCACCAGGGGCCCAGCGGCTGCTCAGGTTCATGGAGGTAAACAGCACCCTTGAGTTCTCGGCTGGAGAAACAGGGTTACTGTAACCAGACAGGGGAAGCCAGTTCTCAGGAGCAGTGCTCTCTGCCTTTGTCCCGGGTGTGTGCTGGCGAGCAGCTGGCCTCGCCTCCAACTCGCTCCTCAGTTAGGAGTTCAATGCCGGTGTGCTTGTTACTTCACAGAAAGCTGTCAAGGAACAGGAGGGACGGGACAGTGCACTGTGTCCTTGGTGGTGACCAGTGGTTTGCAGTAGTGTTCCCTGCACTGGCTCAGGTCTGACCCGGCCACTGTGGCTCTTCCCATGAGAATCCTGCACACTCCCTTTGCCTGCCACTGCAGTGATGTCTCCTGCTGGGAAAGCTCCCTGGCAGGGCAGCGTCCATGAAAGCACCTTTTGGCAGCACCAGAGAACCGAACGTCTCAAAGGTGAGGCATAAAAGTAGGTGTGTCGGATGGGAACATGTGCAGGACATGTGATGACCTTTAGAGGGTATGGATTTTGTTGTCAAAAGTTCTCGAAGGAAATTATGGCCGTGGAGAACAAAAAGGACCTTCATGAGGACTCAGGTAGTAGCTACCTTGCCTAGGAGAAGATGGCAGCAAGTTTGGGAGCCTTCTCTGATGCCCGGCCACTTAAATCCAGTGGGAATGATGCTGTGAGGGGGCCTGGGCTCCTCTCCAGCCCTGTGTGACAAGGAACTGTTTCAAGGGGGGACAGGGTAAGCAGGACCTCAGGCCCTGGGTGACCACTGTCTGCTCCTGTCTGGCAGATGAGTTCCTCTAGCTCTTGTGCTTGGCCAATCATGGGCCACATCAGGCATCAGAGATGCAGCTCTGGATCCTGTCCATCCATTGCTGGGCACTCTGTCCATCCTGGGCACAGAAGTTGTAGACACGCTTGCTGGTCTTGAGCTATAGAACCGAATGACAGAGGAGCAAATATAAAGCAGGCTGTTTATGGCTTTGGGTGAGTGGCAACTAGTTCCCTCCTGATCAGACATAACTGCCTGTCCTAACATCATCTGTCACCGTGAGGTGGGCTGTGGGGTATTCTAAGGGCCATGCAAAAACAGATGACGATCTAGTCCCCGACTAACTGATTCTCAGGAGGAAGCCAGTGTCATCAAGTGGGAGGTCACATTCTCCATCCCTGTACAGGCTGTGGTGCTCTTCAACTGAAAAAAGGAGTGGAGCAGTTCCCTCAGAGCTCTGCTGCTGGGCAGGAGAGAGGCCAGAGCTCTGCACCAGCTGGCTCTGAGGCCCTCCCCATCTCCTTCCTCAAAGGCAACTCCAGGAAGACGTCAGCTTTCCTCATGTTCACTCTGCCTAACTTTCCTCTCCTCACTCCAAAGTGACTGAGTGAGTGACAGCGCTGTAGGAAAGCAGAGGATGAGACAGCCTCTGGGCAGGTGAAAGGGAAAGTCATGGGTTAGTCTGCCACTCACCCAAAGCCATAAAACCCCCATCTCGAGTGACTACCGACTCCTCTGAGGACCTGTAATGTTGGGAGGCGCTGAGAGACATGCAGGAGAACAGGAAAGATGGACTTACATCAAAGAAAGCCTTGTCACTTGTATACTTTGGGGCTCCCATGCTGGGGCTGGCAGGCATAACCATTTCTACTTCAGCCAGATCAATGTGGCCTTTACAGCTCGTGTCTTCCCCCGAGTCATAGTATCGGAGCTAGGACCAGAGAGACAGATGGGCTCAGAAGGGAATGACATGGCTTTCCACACTGTGTCTGATCACTTTCCTCTGCACCTTGCTTTTCCATGCTAACTCTGCATGGAATAATACCCTAGCATTAACAACGCTGGCTGTCTCTTACACACGCCTCTAATCCCAGTACTCGGAGCAGGGGCAGGCGGATCTCTGTGAGTTCAAGGCCAGCCTGGGCTACATACAAAGAAACTCTCTTGAAAAAACAAAAACAATAACAAAACAACAAATTCCTAGACACTGATAAATCACCTACCTAAAAATAACCAAAGGATTGCAACCAGCAAGGCACAGGAGAAACACCACCTAGCTACAGACATCTAGAATCTCCTCAGCCTTGTCTGACAAATGAAATTATTGAGAGTCCGCTCTTAGTCTGAGAAATACTACAGTGGCTGGCAATGTCTAGCAAGACACTGAGACTCCCATATGCTGTTACTGGGAACACAACTTATTAGAAACAATTTAGAGATGTCGGCTAGGATGAATGCTTGTGTCTGGAACCATTTCTCTCTCCTCTGCTTCCCCACAGGAACAGGAAATGCTGTGACCTCCATGGGTACTGCCTTTGTGAGCTCAGCACCGAACACTGGCTCTCGAAGTGACAGCATGGCCATGAGATGGGCACAGGACAAGGAAGGCTCTGAAATGCAGTCGGCTGGCAAGCAGGATAATGGTGCAGAAGAACATCACCGACAGCTCCGAGCTGCCGGCTCTGTGGCTGTTAGAGCTTTATGAGCTGTTTAAGTTTGGCACAATAATCATGTATTCCTTTGGAATAAGAAGAAATGAAGTATTTTAAAAGCTGAAGAGCTTGCTGGTGAGAGCCTTCTTGGCCTAGCCCTGCTTCCTTCCAGTGTGCACAGCAGGGCTGTGATTGGCATTTCCATTCCTGTGGCTCTTGACCCACGCCCACCCCAGGCATGGTATGAGCAGGACTAAATGGAAAAACTAGATATCTTCCATGCTAAAGAAATCCAGAAGATGGTAAGAATACAAGTATCATTTGATGTAATTTTAAATTATAGGAAAATCATGATTTTTTTCCTATGTTATATTTAGTGGTTCAATGGAACTTTTCTACACCGTGAAGGGTCTATGATTTCAAGGACACTGCTGTTTTAAAGTACAGCTCTAAAAGGGCTTCTATTTGTATATTTGAAAATCTCAATATTCTTAAGGGTCAACAAACAAAAAACCAACAAAGCCCCTGAGCCAGAGGAGAAGGTGGCCCCACACCAGTCTTGCTCTGGAAGGATCCTCTTGATGCTGTCCTACGGGAGTGCTGTCAGGGCACAGACAACAGCAGCGGTGGTTCTCAGCCTGTGAGTTGTGACCTCCTTGGGGGTTGCATAACAGATGTTTACATTACAAGCCGTAACAGTAGCAAAATACAGTTCCGAAGTAGCAACAAAAATAATTGTATGGTGGGGGTCACCATAACGTGAGGAACTGTATTAAAGGGTGCAGCATTAGGAAGGTTGAGAACCATTGTCTTAGGTCCTTCCTGATATACTCTGCATTTTGACCACAGCCAAGTTGGCCTAAACAAAGGTTTCACTTCTCTTGCAAATGAAGGGTGTTCAGGGCAGAAGGTTTGAATAAGAGTCCCTTGAGATTACAGGAGCAAAGAGCTGGAAGTTTAACCTACATGTAGCAGCAAGGACAAAGAGTAAAGCATGCCAAGGAGTTCATAAGTTAGAGTGAAGGTCTAATCTAGCCTGCTGTGAATCCCAGGGCTGGGTGTGCACCTCCACTCCCAATGCTCCCATCTTTGAAGAATAGCACTTCCTTGCTAAATAACCAGTACAGTGAGGTAGAGTCCAAAAAATGGTGGATAAATCTGTTATAACTGGATGTTTTCTGCAGCAAAGATGGACAGCTGTACCCTGGGAGGGAAGGCGGTACCTAGCTCATATGTGCATGCAACAGGCTAATGCTCCCAGATGCTTCCAGACCTGAGTGTTAACGAGGAGACATTTACCTTAGTCATCAGGGAAATGCAAATCAAAACAACTCTGAGAGACCACCTTACACCTGTCAGAATGGCTAAACCAAAAACACTGAAGACAGCTTGTGCTGGAGAGGATGTGGATCAAGGGGAACACTCCTCCACTGTTGGTGGGAGTGCAAACTTGTACAACCACTCTGGAAATCAGTATGGCGGTTTTTCAGAAAATTGGGAATCGATCTACCTTAAGACCAAGCCATACCACTCTTGGGCATATACCCAAGGAATGCTCAATCATACCACAAGGGCACATGCTCAGCTATGTTCATAGCAGCACTATTTGTAATAGCCAGAACCTGGAAACAACCTAGATGCCCCTCAACTCAAGAATGGATTAAGAAAATGTGGTACATATACACAATGGAGTACTACTCAGCAGAGAAGAACAATGACATCATGAAATTTGTAGGAAAATGGATGGAACTAGAAAATATCATCCTGAGTGACGTAACCCAGACTCAGAAGGACAAACATTGTATGTGCTCACTCATAAGTGGATACTAGATGTAAAGCAAAGGATAACCAGACTGCAACCCACAGATCCAGGAAGGCTACCTAGCAGGGAGGACCCTAGGATGACTGTGGCTTATAATAAGATTTGGTTTTGCCCAGTAACTGGGCATGCTTTAGTGAAACATTTCACTATTAGGATAAGAATTTGTACTGTATCAAGCTGATGAAAGGATATGCTGGCTGTACTTTCTGGAGGGGGAGGGGCTAAATCTTTTTAGATTATGGATTAGCCTATAGAAAAATGTCTGCTGTAATCAAACAGTGAAGGGGAAGATGAATAGGAATCTCATACAACTTAACTAAAAACTCTCTGAACAGATGAAGATAGGTTTCTTCTGTATTTCAGAATCTAATCAATATTTATATGTATAATTCAGCTATTTGGCTTAAAAAGGTTTATTAGGAAATGTTATCATTTTTACTATTTTCTACAGAGAAAATATTTTCCAGTTCCAAATAAAAAAAATAATAAATTTAAAAAGAAGAAGAGACATTTATGCATTAAGAGTGCTAGTGTTCTGAACATGCTGGGCTCTGGGTAGAGGCTACTTTAAAATTTCCTCCCAACAATTACTGCCAGGGACATTTTGGGCCTTGGAAGAGCCACCATCTACAAAGGTGAAGCCCTAGGTGACCATGCTGTATGTGAGAAATACATAAGCAGGGCTTGTGATGAGCCTAGACAGGAGTAGTTTCTTCAGGTCTTACCTGGTGTTTTGTTACATCTAAAACAAACCAACGGGGTTTCCAACCCTTCAGCAAAGCTCCTCTTTTGTACAGCGTTCCTTCAAAGGATCTAAAAGAAAGGGCAACAAGACAGTTTATTCTGACTTCGTTACAGAATCAAACAGACTGCCTTCTGTTTGTCAGGTTTCTGTCTCCCTAATGAGCTCTCCCAGGAGTTCTGGCCCTAGCCCTTTGGAGCCTGACTCCTTCTGCTGGGACCACCACACTCCCCTGTGTATCTACGAATTCTTGGTTTCCATGCTTTCTGCTATGCCAGGAGTGCTGAAACACCAAGGAGAAACAGAGCTGGAAAGAGAAGTCTGAAGATGTTGTGAGAGACACTAGCATGTCTTTGGCATCCTAGTTTATGTGAGTAAACTTCTTTTGCCAGGATGAGTGGGATTTCTGATGTGTGCCACTGAAAAAGTATTGCCTGACACACATTCTCTCAAATATTGACACCCCCGACCCAAGAACCATCTAAACAAAGCATTTAAGAAAAACAAAAACCCACAGAATGAAAGCAAATCCATCTCAAGTCTGACAGGCTATTTGTCCAGGGCTGGCTGAGGCCCTGTCAGGACCCAGCAATGTCACCTGTTCTCATCGTTCTTGGATGTGTACTGGCTGTAAAGCGTGGCTGCCCTGTGCTCTACGCCATTGGACGGGGCGACGGTGGCGTTCTGATCCTCGCCAGTGCTGTGGTCCAGTGGGTGCAGCACAGGCCTCTTCTGATAAGAAGGCACGTTGGTAGACACAAGTCCTGGGGACCCCGATGAGTGTCTTTGGGACTGAGAAAGACAGAACAGGGCTAGGACAGTTTCCCAGAGGCTTAGGGATTGGCTGATAATTTCATTTATACAAATGTATCTCAGGGTAAAAACTGACTAGTGAGCGAACACATGTCAAACATTTATCCTTTTTTTTTTTTTAATGAAAAGTAGAAACAACCTAATACCCATTATTTGGGGACTGGTAAAAAAATAAACAACTGTTACTCCTTTGCAATGGAGCTCTAGACAACAACCAAAATCATGCAAACAAATAGCATGTATGCCAACAAGAAGGCAGGTTTTCAAATATCACATACAATAAATCTCGTATTTCTAGGTTATACATTGTGGGTAATTTTCAACTCTTGGTAACCTGTGTACTGTTATTTTAAAAATGAAAGTAGGATGTATATCATTAAAAAATCTAGAAACAACTTTATTTTTCTGGGGTAAAAGGCCACAGGTGGATGATGATGCTTTATGCCCAAGTGGCAATAGTTCCTGCACAGCTACGTGAAGGTAAGATGGAACCCGGAGGCCCTTTCATCAAGGGCCTTCTTCTCAGGCCACTGGTCTTGTCTCTCTTCCCTGAAATGCTCTTCAGAACACTCATGCAACCTCGCTTCCCTGTGCTGGGCTGGGAGTCAGTCTGCTGTGGCTGTGAGTGGTGGCCCTGCCAGTCAGTAGCTGTGAGACTTCTCTGCATTCCTCCTTGTGCACGAGGTACAAACCGTGCTCACTGTGGCCTGCACAGGGCTCAGTCCCCTGGGCATATCATATGCTTGATAACTGTTTCTAGTAACAGGAATAGGAACTGGGGGATGAGAAAAAGGAAGCAAACAGAACAGGAAGTTTGGGAAACAGAAAGTAGTTTAGGTTGTCATCTTAGAATATTTCTCTTTGCTTGTTTCTCTGGAGCAAACATGGGCTTGGCATTCCCTGTGCTTTGTGGAAGGCCAACAGAGACCACAGTGGCACCAAGATAGAGAACCCGTAATTTCCTCTGGACTCAGTGCCTGAGACATGTGCATTATGTCACTGTGGGGAGTGAGACATTCAGGAAGCATTTGGTCATCTGGAACGTTCTGCATTGAACCCTCACGGTATGACCCTTCTCTACCATTTTCTCTGGGTCATGGGCTGTGGGCTCCATCTGACCTAACACTTTCCAAAGCTCAGGGGGCTTTGCCAACTCACATGGTCTGTTCTTGGCTCCTCCTTAAGGTCCGTGGTTACTTTATCCCATAGCTGGTGCCATTTCTCAGGAGTTTGGTTCAATTTATGCTCCAATTTTTCAATTTCCTGCAAAGAAATGAAAAGGACAGTTTTGACAGATGAGTATTTTACACAAGGTAGAGTGTGCCTGGAGACACAGGTTTCTTCTGTCCTGGGCCCAGATGAGCAGCGTGGCTAGAGTAGAGCTGGATTTGATGATTTATTAGGACTCAGCAGGGATTTTTTTTTAAAACAGACTGAGTTAAATAATAAGCCATGGAGTGTGTGTCTCAGACACCTTCTTCACTCTTGGACAGCCTATGGGAAATCTGATGACTAAAGCGAAAGGCCTACCGTGGGCCTATGTCCTAACCCTAATGGCTAAGGCAGTTAAGAAGTTTTTCTTGACAGAGAAGCCCTCAACTTTGGTGACTTAAACCAGATGTGCAAAGAATGAACTAAGGGATGCTCATGAAAATGATTCCCTCTGACAGGTTCTGAGACAGCCATCACTGCAGCACAGTATTCCTGGCTTGGAAACAGAGGGGACTCTTTATCAACTGTCTGACCCACATCAGAACCCAAAGCTGTCCCAGTGGCTACTGCCAGGATGGCTCACTCCAGAATCTGTCTTGCAGAACGTGTCCCATCGGCCATCAGCTACCCATATTTCTAACAAAGGGAAGTAAAGCACCCACAAAAGCCATTGCCTAGGCCTAATTCTAACAGCCTAGGCAGGCAATGCTGCTGGGAAGCCATCAGAAGGGAAACTGCTGTTTTCCCAGCTGCTTCCTTGTAGCACTTTTTTTTTTTGGTTGTTTGAGACAGGGTTTCTTTGTGTAGCTTTGGTGCCTGTCCTGGATCTCACTGTGTAGATCAGGCTGGCCTCGAACTCACAGAGATCCACCTGGCTCTGCCTCCCGAGTGCTGGGATTAAAGGAGTGTGCCACCGCTGCCTGGCATGCAAAGCCACTTTTATGGGTATCTTTGCCAATCATTAAGTGTGGTGCCCACTGCTGCGCAGAATCAAGGCTGGATTCTTCAGATTCAGAGTGTTAACTAAGACAGAGCCCAGAGTAAGGGAGCCATTATAGGTAGGAGTATGCAAGGCAGGCTAAGCTGTTCCCTTGGGGCCCTAGTGCCTGTGGGTATGTCTACACATTGCTGACTTACACTGAAAAGTCTGGTGAGGGCATCTGGCTGGCTGCAGCTGATGTCATCATAGCATGGCCACACTGTTCTCCTTTGACTCTGGGGCCCAACTCCTCCAGCTATATCCGATTCTTCAGAGGGAAAATGCTTGGGGGTCAGCATCATCCAGTCGTATGAAGGACCTGCAGACAGAGTCTCCTCTGTGTAGTAATCCCACTTCTTGAGACTGGAGACATTTACATTAGGCTTCAGGGCCTGTTTAAAGAGAATTCTGAAATGTAATTTTCTCTCAACCCTGAAGTGTTTACTGCCAGGCCAGCCCCCTACATTTGCAGGGTGCAGAGCAAATTTATAAATTTCACCTAAATATTTCAAACTTCTACATCAAGAGAGCATGAAATAAAACATGTTTACCCTCTTTGCCCAACAAATGTAACTTCCTAATGATTTGGAAGGTCAGATTCAAATAAAGCGCTCTTGGGTTCCTCATAATTCTATACTATGAAGTAGTGACACAGGGGGAGATGGGTCCCCAGCTCACAGGTCTTGGTTTAACCTCCCCCCCCCCCCCCCCCCGACCTCACACGAACATTTGTGTATACCCTAGGCCACAAAGTCAAACTCTGCTCATTCCATGTCAGGCAGCTACTTGGTTCCTCTGGGCCTTGGGACTTGGGCAAGTAGACTGGTGAGTGGCTTGGGTTCAGACCAGGGATGTGGAGTACCCAGAGCAAAGATTAGATGAGGAGAGGCCACCTAAAAATGAGCATTTGGTTTCTTGGTGAAGGTCTCACCAGAGAAAGGCCAGAGTTCTAATGCATGGTCCAGGGCAGGGACCTCTGCATCCCCTAAGTACTGAAGTTCTGCTTATCAAACCTACCCAGGCCCCAAGTATTTGATTTATGTATGGTATAAAACAGTTCCCATCTATGAAATTTATTGATGTTTATGAGACAGTCTTGCTATGCAGTCCTGGCTGGCCTCAAACTTGTGATTCTCCTGCTTCTATCACTCAAGTGATACGACTAGAGGCATGTGCCACCACGCTGAGCCCCAGGAGTAATTTAAAAGATGAAATTATGGGCTGGAGACAGGGTTTAGCTGTTAAGATCTGAGTTCACAGCACGTCAGGCAGTCAAACCTGCCTGTTGCAAGCCTAGGTCATGCAGATGACATGACCAAGCCTTGCTGCCCCGTCCTCTGGCATAAATATGACATATCTGCCATAATGTCAGTGCTTCCCGAGGCCCTTCCGCAGGTTTACCATACACTAAAGCATTGAAGATTTGTCAGCTGTGGCCTGGTGTGGTGACACACCTTTATTCTACAGAGGTAAAATTGCTTTGTTTTGATTGTACTGACATTACCTCTAAGTTTCAGAGACTAGCTCCTAGTATTTGCATCAAGCATTTAGTGAACAGTCTCCATTTCCATTACAACCCAAACCTATGCCATCTTAAACTTTTAAATACCTTTGGTCTGAAACCTCATCAGATGTTTACATATACTGAAATGAAGAGAAACTTTTCTACAAAACCTTCAGACGATAAGACCCAGGTGACTTCACTCTACCTCTGTTTCCACTGGTGAATATAAGTAATTGAAGAAGATGGGGCTCCGCTTGTGCATCTTGTCAATGCACTCCCAAATACAAACTCCTTTCTTGGCATGCTTGTCACCTTTATCATCAAATAAAGTTCCTGAAATTAAAAAAACCATCAAAATGGAGAGAAATTGAAATTTTGTCTAAAAGTATGAATCACATAGAAGAGGAAAAAGTGAAATTCTTACGTCTCTGAAATCAGCAGCAAATGTACAGAAATCTCAAGAGCTAACTGCCAACAGAAACAGGGACAAGCAGGTCAAGCCTTCAGGAAATGTGGGACAGGGTCTTGGCAGGGCTGTCCCCCTCATGTCCTGCTTCTGAATGTATAGCCACAAAGGAGACAGGCTATACATTTCTTAAGAGAAAATGGACTTATTAACTGATGCAGCTCAGTTGAAAATGTAGTTTTATGCTTCTTTAAAAAACTTGTTTATTATGGAACTCGCTGAGCGTCATGGACTCAGAGCTGCTTGTAGCTGGAGAGCTTCTCTCCAGGTCCCACCAAACCCCTGCAGTGCGTCAGACAACCCACGTATAAAATAATCACTCAGGCATCACCATCCCTGACCTCAAACTCTACTATAGAGCTATAGTAATAAAAACAGCTTGGTACTGGTATAAAAACCAGCATACAGACCAATGGAATTGAATTGAAGACCCTGACATTAATCCAT